CCCTACAGTCCAGAGATCACTGGTCCAGTCTGTGTCATATTGTAATTCTATAGTCCAGAGATTACTGGTACAAGTCTGGACTGTGTCATATTGTAACCCTATAGTCCACAAATCACTAAACAAGGAATTAACTAGCAGTAAGTGTCCAGATTGCTTTGACTGGGCGGTTCTAGTGCCCATGAAATGTGAGCTGTTCTGGAATTTCCTTCTGTCCACTTCTGAGTTTATTACTACTGATCAAACATTAACCCTGTTGTTGTGACCCTGAACAGTAAAAGAGGACTGAAATGTGGGTGATATTTCTGGCTTTGGAAACTTTTTTGGATTTAATTAGCATGAGTTGAAAGGATCACACTATCATATTGATTTTGATTATTTTAAAACTCATTGTTGGCTCAGCTGGCTGTATTGACTGGCATGCCTAAATATACACTAAATTATGTATTTATTTCTTATCAATATTAATGTCTGTCTTGCATATTCAATAGGCAGGAAGTGTTCTGGTTTCTGACAGTAATTTTTATAATCACTCTTGTTATTCCAATCACAGTCCATTTATACTCCTATTGATGTTTTTGTTCAATTATAGCAGCTTTGTTATTCTCCTTTATTAGGAAAGAAGCTTTGTTAACTTGTTATAGGAATGAGTGTCAAGTGCTTGGTTCTTGTGTGCGTTGTGCATGAATCAGTGTTTATAAATAGAGAAACAGCATGAGCCCGACCTGGTGTAGAAGCTTACACTGACTACGCAAGGATCACCTCTCTCAGTATCGGTGTGTCTGTGCACAGTCTAACATGTATATCGTTCATGTGTTCATATTGTGTGCAGGAACTGATGCCCCAGCTGTGGTGAACTGTATGCACATCCTCGCTCGATCGCTAGACGCCAGGTAACTCCTCCCCCCACAGCGGACTGAACAGCACAGTACTCTTCAGTGTGCTGCAGTACAGTACAATGCTGTACACTTCGTGACAGCACAGTTTTTTCAGCAAAATGACAGTATTGTAATAGCATGGCACATAGTTTTATGGGCTACGATATGCAACACTACAATAAATTAAGACATTTTACAATGCAATATTCACTGTGTATACTGTATATGCAGTACAGCACAGATCTTTGTGTTACATTTCTCTGTATGACATTTTTGTATTATTGTAATCTGTGTTACACAGCACAGTGACCTGAGTAACTTTGGATTTTACAGTGAAGTGTGTAAATGTTGTTTAGTGCCTTCAATACTTTCCACTTTCCCTCTCCCTCCTTCTCATCCTCTCTTCCTCTCTCTTTCCGCCCCTCTTCTCTTCCTTCCTCGTCTCTTTGTCAGGACGGTGATGAAGTCGGGGCCGGAGATCGTCAAGGCTGGCCTGCGGTCGTTCTTTGAGAGCGCTGCAGAGGACATTGAGAAGACGGTGGAGAACCTGAAGCTGGGGAAGGTGTCTCAGAGCCGCACACAAGTGAAGGGTGTCTCTCAGAACATCAGCTACACCACCGTGGCGCTGCTGCCTGTCCTCACCTCACTGTTCGAGCACCTGGCACAGCACCAGTTCGGAGATGACTTCATCCGTAAGTCTGTGCACCCCTGTCAGTCAGAGGCCTTTAGAAGAGCCACAGCCCACATGTGTATCTCACATTCTTGTATCTCACACGTAGCCTAATAGGAATGACTCAGTCGCCTTCCCTCTGTCTTTCACATTGCTATCTGTGTGTCTATCTGTCTGCAGTGGACGATTTGCAGGTTTCCTGTTACCGCATCATGTGCAGCATCTATTCACTGGGAACCACCAAGAACCCCTACGTGGAGAGGTAAGTCACTGAAACCAGATGTGAGCAGCACTAGGGGTTCTTCAAGGCTTGACAGCAAGATTAATCAGGCAACAGCCCCTACAGCTGGGCTACATTGCTAGTAAAATGAGGACACACTGGGTTGCCATCACACTGAGCTATGCAGTGTATTATAAAAAAGGACACAGTGACTCTAGGGACTACACTGAAGAAGAAGGAACACTATTGTCCTCTCCCCAGCCTCTGTAGATGCATTTTCCAAACCAGAACTGGTTTACTGTCCATTAATCCTGACTGCTGCTGAGCAATTCATTGGGCACTCTGTTTATTCAGATGGCAGTAGCCCTTCGTATAGAATCTCACAGAGTTGTATCAAGCATTTTTAGGAGAGCATTTTAGAATCTTAAAAATCTCTAAATGTTTTATAATGAAGTTCCTCCCTGGGTTAAGGTAAAAACAGTCAGGTAAGACGAAGGTGAGCAGCTGAACACACAACACTCTACCAGCAAGCTGTGCTGGGTTTGAGGTCAGCCCTACAGACTGAGAGTTGGGGGGCTACAGGCCCCTGTGTCTGGAGTGGTGGTGACTCTCTCTCTGTCCAATACTGCCCCCTGCAGGCAGCGGCCAGCGCTGGGGGAATGTCTGGCTCGACTGGCTGCTGCAATGCCTGTGGCATTCCTGGAGCCACATCTTAATGAGCACAACCAGTTCTCTGTCTATACCACCAAGACCCCGCGGGAGAGAGCCAGTGAGTACTGCTGCCTCAGTCTGTCTCCCTTCAGTCCTCGCTCCCTCTCCTTCCCCCATGCTCTCTCAGCTTTTCTCTCCCCTCCCTCCCTTTCTCCCTTTTCTTTCTACTACCTGTCTCCTTCTATCTCTTCTATGCCCCTTCTGCTGCCCCTTCTCTCTGTTTCTGTCCACCCTCTCTCCTCTCTCTCGTGTCCCCATCTCACCCATCAATCTCCCTGTTCCTGTCTCTCTGTCACTCTTCACTGTCCCAGTCCCCTGTCTCTCTCACCCATTACTGAACCTGTTTCCTGCCACTCTCTGTCATCATTTTCTCTCTGCCCTGTCTCTTTCTCTTATTCATCCCTGTCTTTCTCCCCTGCCCCCTGTCTCTCTCTCACTCATCACTGTATCACTGTCTCTCCCTCGTCTCACTCATCACTATCTCTCTCCCCTGTCTCTCTCTCTC